AGGGTAGAGAGAATAGTGCAACAATGAATGAATGGAAACCCAAAATCTCTGTAAATGTTTATGAAAATTAATAAAATATAGAAAAAAAAAGAAAGAAGTCTCTTTAGTGGTACCTAAGAGAACTAGGGTTCTAGCCAATTATTAACTTGAGAATTGATGTGTTATCTGCAAGAATTATAGAACTTCCGTCCTGTGTGAAGCAGCGTAACTTTTCTAAGAACAAGGATATTTGATCATTGCAGTTATGCTGCAGAGGGTCTATGAGAAAGCCTTCTGGTGATGGGATTATGTCTTGAGCCAGTTATAGGTCACACATGTAAACGTTAATTCACACACTTAAGATGTGTGTATTGTGTAATGATCAAATTGATAGAATTTTAGGTTTTAAAAGAAAACTTTCTATGAATGAAATTATTACTTTAGCCTACTGACATAGAGTTAAAAGAGCATTTGTATGAGCAAATGGACTCAAGTATTTCAGAAATGATAAAGATGACACAAGATGTTGTTGTTATGTGCCGTCGAGTCGTTTGCGACTCATAGCGACCCTATGTACAACAGCCCTAAACCCTGCTGTGTTCTGTGCCAATCGTATTGCCTCTGACACTCCCATCCCAATTACCCCAGTCACTTAATCCATCTCTTAGAGGCTCTTCCCCTCTCATGATGTGCCTCTCCAAGGGCCTGTCCAAGGTAGAACAAGTTATATTGTTCATAGGGTCGCTCTGAATCCTACTCGGTGGCACCTGCTAACAACACAGTCTTTGCAGAAGCACACTACCACAGCTTTCTCCACTCCTGTTTCCCAGCACTCTGCGGCTCTGTGCTCTCCTACTAGGACTCAAGCTGCTGTTGGGTGTTGAGTCAGTTCTGACCCACAGGGACCTCGTGTACAACGGGGAAACTTCAAATAGGGCCACTGTTGTAAAAGAGAACTGACATTAGGGTTGAGGGAAGACAGAGGAGGAGGGGGAGTAATGATGTATACTGAATTGAAACAGATGGAGAGAACTATTTAAAAAGGATATA